ACGGGCGCGCGTGCACATGCACACACACACACATGCTGCTGGCTCCCGCTGCCTCCCATGCTCTTGGTGCCGCTCCCGCTCCCTCTCCCACTCCTGCTCCCGCTACCTCCCCCACTCCCCCTGCCTCACACGCACACACACACAGACACACACACCCAGACGGGCGCGCGTGCACATGCACACACACATGCTGCTGGCTCCCACTGCCTCCCCCGCTCCCTCTGCCTCCCATGCTCCCGGTGTCGCTCCCGCTCCCTCTCCCACTCCCGCTCCCGCTCCCTCTCCCACTCCCGCTCCCTCTCCCACTCCCGCTCCCTCTCCCACTCCCGCTCCCTCTCCCACTCCCGCTCCCTCTCCCACTCCCGCTCCCGCTACCTTCCCCACTCCCCCTGCCTCTCCCGCTCCTGCTGCCTCCCTTGCTCCCGCTGCCTCGTCCGCTGCTTCTGCCTCCCGGCTTCTGCTCTCGCTGCCTCCCCATTTCCGCTCCCTCTGCCTCCACCGCTTCCGCTGCCTACTTGGTTTAGGGGTTAGGGTGAGGGTTAAGGCTAACCAAAAATAAAAATCAATCAATGTTTTTTTTTTTTTTTTTTGCTTATTTTTGGCAGCCTATGCAGTGTAGTATGGTCTCAATATGTATGACCGTTCGTATGGCCGTAGGGCTGAACCCTCGTACGGCGTACGGGGGAATACACAGCATGAGGCAAAGCCATGGCGGCTGACCATTAGGCAAAGCCAATTTGAAACCTTTGAGCATAGAATGAAAAATAAAAAATCTTCAACAAGTTTTCTCCTATGTAAATACGTGTGATGAGTTGAATAACTACTGTCTCACGTTAATGTTAATTTTGGATTCATGGACAGCTATGCTCCGATCAAGTTGAATTGGAGAACTACTTTTTGATTGGATTTGTCATGTCAGGATAAATCAGGCCTTGGCTGACTTAAGCACGTGCTTTGTCACCGTTGGATTTCCGATCGGTGAATCAATTGGTCGGTCATGCCTGCAGTATACTCAAGTTGGGGAGACCCTTGCATACGACGTGGTTCTGGAGACTGCGCTGAAGGTCATTGGTTTCGATAAGAGAAATCTTCGGCTGAGTGGGCCATGGAAGTGGCTGCTTGAGGAGTTCCTCCGCACTTATGCCATTAGTGAACACTATGCGGCACTAAGGTCAGATCTTGTCTTATCTGAACCAGTCAGACAAAGCATTGCCGTGCCTCTTCCCTTCAAGCTAACCCCCTGGTAGAACTTTGATTGCCCTGCATTCTGTGAGATTGTCTCTTAGAATAGCTGTTGCAAACTTGCAGCTTTTTGTACAAAAAGGCACTGGATGTGGTTGCCTTTACCTGTTTTCTTGTGGGACTCTTTTTATTTTATTGGCTCTTTTTGTTCGCTTGCTGTGTTCTTGGCTGCACTGAGAAGAGGTGGTTGAGTTGTCCCACAAGTGGTTAACGGAATTGGTGGCAAGTTTGGTTAAAATGACCCTTTGGTTTTCTTATAAATGGCGTGGCAAGTGGTCTGAAAATTAGGGTCTCTCAAAGTGTATATGGATTTGGAGGGATGTTGCCGACATTCCATAACCATTGGCATTTGAGATTGTGTGGATCTCTCTGCCAGTGTAGCATGTGTTTGGCCCGAAATTCCCACAAGAAGAGGACTGAGCTGTGTAGCACACAGGACGTGTTCGGGGCTTTCGTGAATGCCGGAACACGTTTGGGTGCTCAACCGAACGCCTCCCAAACGTGCTTGGTCTAACATGTTTTTTTAATGATTTTTTTTTTCGAGTTTGTAAAATTTAAAATTTTGTTTTTTGAACTTTTTTCTTAGGTTTTTGATTTTTAACTCGAGTTTGGCTAAGAATTTGAAGTTGCCTCTCAGGCAAAAGTTGTTTGTATTATTATTTTACGTAACATATGAGAGATGATATGACAATATATATTTTTAGTATTTTTGTGTTCGTGTTTGGAGGTTTTTGGTGCTCGTTCCCGTTCGGTAGCGAACGTTTGGTTTTGGTTGTGAATGTTCGGGTTCGGTCGTGAACGTTCGAGTTCGGTCACAAACTTCTGGGTTCGGTCAGGAACACGAACACGATGCTACTGAAACGGTATTCACCAGTTCGCAGTAGCCGATGCAGATCCCAGGGCTCGATCCCTAGTCCCCACCTTACCTCTGTACAGTATCGGTGTCGAACCCTAGAGTTGAACCCGTGACCTGTGTATTTGTAACAGTTGGTAGGCTGTCGTAGGGTCCCTAGGTAGCAGGGGTTCGATCTGTAGACCTGTCGAGTAGGAGTCTCAGTGAGGTCTAGAAGTCGTAGCTGTAGTTTTCCCGAAGGGTCAAGGTCGTAGCTGCTACAGTCCAGAAAGGTCAAGGTCATAGCTGCTACAGTATCGAAAGGCCAAGTCTACGACCTTCCGGAAGGTCTGAGTAGTGGCCTTTCGAAGTTGCCCATGTTTAGGCTGAGGCAAGTGGGCAAGTGGTGAGGCAAGTGGGCAAGTGGTGGAGTCTACCCGTGCTGAGTCAGCAGTCCCAATCCCAGTCAGTCCTGGTCCAGTCAAGCAAGTACCGCATGGGACTGTATGCACTACGGGCATGGGAAAGGAGCCAGACCAACGAGCTGCAGAGTCATTCATTCAAGAGGCAGCGCCCAGTCATTCATTCATTCCTGCGTGAGCCATGCGGAAGCGCTGCCACAAGCGATTTGTGCGAGGTGGTCTGCAGTGAGCCTGAAGACGAAGTGGGCGAGAGAGAAGAAGCTTAGCCATAGCGATAGGATAGCAGCGGCCATAGCCACCATAGCTGTAGATAGTGTGCAGTGTGAGTGTGTGTGTGTACAGAGTAACGCGTGTGGGATATCCAGGGTGATCCTGTGTGTGCGAACAGAGTTGTGGGCGCTGTGTCGCCATAGCCAGTGAAGTGAACTTGTATCTGAGCTGTGTTCTCGGCTACCATATCTCTGAGTTTTGAGTGGGCGCTTGTCGCCAGTTTGCTGCGCATCTGTTTGTATACATGTGAAGTGTGAATGAGAGTGAGTCTGATTGCATTGGTATCGGAGCTGGTACCCGCTATTCCTCACGCCGTCGGGTATTGCAGGGAGAGCTATGCGCCATAGCCAGAGTAGCTATCGAAGAAGAAGTCCGCCATAGCGGAGCTGGAGGTTGAAGAAGCTGCGGTGCGCACCTGCAGAGAAGACCAGGAGGAAGAAGAGAGAGAGAGAGAGAGAGAGAGAGAGAGAGAGAGAGAGAGAGAGAGAGAGAGAGAGAGAGAGAGAGAGAGAGAGAGAGAGAGAG